TAGTATTCTTGATACTACACATACTTTTAGCTCTAAGGTAGAGGTCAGAAACGTGACATTTAGATTAAATTCATTTTCCTTAATCATGTGTCGTTTGGCACAACTAAAACACAAACTGACTCCAAGTGTAGTACCTTTTCCATGGGACAGAAATGAAGGAATTATATTGTACCAAGTTGAATGGTTCGTCCCCAAGATGTAATTGTTGATATGTTATTTTAACCACTGAAATTTGGGTCTCAAAATTATTTATTTATTATAGAAAACTAAAAGTGTAATAGATATGTTTGAAATCAGATTGCCATGTTAAATTTAGGCTTTATGTAGCTTTATTGGGAATGAATAAATCTGATGTTTTCTGAATTATTTATTGTCCATGATCCATAGTAGAAATATTATATGTTTTTTATATATTTGATAGAACTAGAAGTCATTGTATGGGGATTGAATAATAGAAAAGGTGGCATAACATAGTGGTTAGAAGGATGGACCCTGGAACCAGTCTGCTTAGATTTACCACCTTGTTTTGCCACTTACCAGCTGGGTGACTTGGAATAAGTTACTTAACCTCTTTGTTATCAGTTTCCCTATCTGAACATGGTCATAAGAGTCTGAAAATAGTATATTTTCTGTCAGGTTGTTACAAGGGTTAAACAGATTGTCATTATTATTATTTTTTGAGACTCTGTCACCCAGGCTGGAGTGCAGTGGCATTAACTCAGCTTACTGCAACCTCCACCTCCCAAATTCTAGAGATTCTCTTGCCTCAGCCTCCCGAGCAACTGGGACTACAGACGTGCACCACCATGCCCAGCTAAGTTTTGTAATATGTTTTGGTAGAGACAAGGTTTTGCCATGTTGTCCAGGGTGATCTTGAACTCCTGGGTTCAAACAATCTGCCTGCCTCAGCCTCCCAAGGTGCTGGGATTACAGGTGTGAGCCACCATGTCTGGACAAACAGGTTAATATTTGTAAAGCACTTGTAGCAGTGCCTGGCATGTAGTAGGTGCTATAGAAGTTTTGATTAAATAAGATAGATGGGCATGAAGCTTGACAGAGTTTTATAGAGTAGGCATGTCTTGCCTTTAAAATACACCTAGCTGCAGAAAATGTTGTCTTTTCTTTTTTACAAACTTCTCTATTATCCTTTAGAAATATAATGAATTGAAAACTAGTATATCCAAAATAGTGTACTTTTACTCTTTGAATAACCAGATCATGTTATTCCATGAGAATTTTCAACTGATTATGTTTTTCATAGCTATTTGAACAGTACTTTTAATCCACATGTAGGTTTCAAGGTCTCTAATTTTTCATTAGCATTGTATCAGAGAATATAGTATTTAGAAAAAACATGTAGCTGTTTTGGTTAGTGATGACTGGAAATATTGCTTGACAGTAGTTTAATAGTGCCCATACTGCTTGGAAATATTAGCATTTATTAGATAGATTTCTTTTCAAATGTAATAATAGTGCTCATATAGTACTAATGTTTTTCGTCACTAGGTTTTAAAATTTTGACCATGAGACCTTTGTGGAAACCTTTACTATTCATGGTTTCAAGTAATTTTAAAATTTGGTCTGTATTTTAAGCCAATTATTTAGATTGCTAGAGATATACAGTAATATTACGTAACCATCTTCTTCTAATAGTTACTAATGTACAGAAGAAAAGAAAGAAGTCCAAATAAGTACAAAGTAAATTAATATATATGTTTTAAAGAAATAGAACAGGTAATTCACTTTTATAAAATAATTAAATCTGAAATATATATAATAAAGAGTTAAAATACTTACCACTCCTTTACCCATCATCATTTCCATTTTTCCCTCCTCAGGGGTACTCTGTCACAGGCTTGCTTTTTTAGTCTTCTATAACTTTTTCTATGTGTGGGAAGACAAATATGTATTCAAACTTAATATACTGTTTAAAAACATATTTGGATGATACCACACATATGTTTGAGGTTTTTCACTTTGTAAGATACCAAAAATATGCCTTTATTCACACCTGTAACTGTATCTCATCTTTAAATGGTTTAATTTTACTCTTTATTGCAAATATTTCCAAATTAGCTGTTTCTTTTTTGATGGACGGATAAATTGTTTAGCATTTTCTTTCCTCTCTTCTTCTCTCCTTCCCTTTCTTTCTTTTTTGCTGCTACAGAAATTACCACTGATACTGAATATCTTTTATAAATTGTGTGCATGCACCCTCACAACTTTTACTATTTCCATAGCATATTCTTAGAAATGGGATTGTTTTATAGGACAAGTATGCTTGAAATTTTTTTTTTCTTTTGAAACAGTCTTACTCTGTTGCCCAGGCTGGAATGCAGTGGTGCGATCTTGGCTCACTACAGCCTTGAGCTCCTGGGCTTAAGCAATTCACTTGCCTCAGCCACCCGAGTAGCTGGGATTACAGGTGTGTGTCACCGCACCTCGCTAATTTTTATTTCTATTTTATTTATTTATTTATTTACTTTTAGTAGAGAAGGAGTTTACCATGTTAGCCAGGTTGGTCTCAAACTCCTGACCTCAAGTGATCCACATACTTCAGCCTCCCAAAATGCTGGGATTATAGATGTGCACCATCCACCGTGGCCAGCATGTTTAAATTTGTAACAGATATAAATTGCCCTCTGTTGCAATTCCGTTCTATAGAGCATACCTATTTTCCCCATATATAAAACATTCTCACAGGAGGCGTCAACAGTGACAAATTTTGTGGGTATACAAATTAACTCTTTAACATGTTTCCAGTGTAACAGATGAAAAGTATGTCTGATTGTTGGATATCTGATGAAAAGGATATCTGATATCTTAATTTTTATTTCTTTGTTAGCAATGTTGAGCATTTTAAAAATAAGTTTACTAGCCAAATAACATTTTTTTCTGTAAATTATCTATTCTTATCTTTTCTATTTTTTTATAGTCGTTTATCTATTTGCCACCTTATATCTTTACTTGGATGTCTAATGGAAATCTCAGTTTAAGACATCCCAAACTAAGTTTCCTTTCTTCTCAAATGTACTTTTCCTATAGCTCCATTCTTCCAGTCTCTCAGTCCCAGTAACTTTGAGTCATCTTTGATTTCTCTCCTACTGTACATCTAATCCATCAGTAAGTCTTATTGGCTGTATCTTTGAAACGGATATAGCGTTTCACCACTTCTTGCCACCTCCTTGCCACCTCCTTGCTTCTGCTATCTCTTGCAACCTGTCTTCCTTTTTCAACACTGGATCCATGTAGTAAGTTTTTTGCATAGCAGCCAAAGAAGTTCTTTCAAAACACATATTCAACAATGCCGTGACTGTATTGAGAATCCGTTACTGTGTCCCAGTTCCCTCAAGTGAAAACCATCTTCTTACTATGACCTACATGAGTCCTGTATGACCTGGTCCCTATATATAGCTCTAACCTCATCTCCTACTTTTCTCACGCTTGCTCACTCTGCTCAAGCCATCTTTGCCTCCATACTTAGCTTGAAAATCCCAAACATACCTCTGACTTCAGACATTTGTTGTTTTTGTTTCATCTGACTACTGTAATGCTCTGCCCCCTGAGATCTGCATGGATCTCTCCCAAACTGGTTTGCTTTAAAAAACATTATTTAAAATTGCTGATATTCACCATATCATAATATATGACATTATAACTATGAGAAAGAAAAAGTCCATTATTCATGCCCTTAAGGTATTTTAAATATGGAATCAATGCTCATATATTAACCAAGTTGGGGGAGAAGGGAAGTATGAGTGGATATGGCAACTAATCATATATCACCACATTCTCATAGTGGTGATGTAATTTAATTTAATAAAAATTTATTTAGATCTGATTTATTTATTTTATGCTACTTTAGAAGTACCTAAAATACTACGTATAAATTATGTATTTGCATTAACTTAAGCTGTATTATATAAATGTGTCTGCTCAGTTTTAAATGAATCTGTTTAGTTATAATACACTATTATTAATTACTCAATTGTTTAAAATAATTCCTGAAATCTTTCATTATGAAGACATGGTTGAAATCCTCCAATTTCTTTACTTTGAATGAACAAAATTTTAAATAATATAGAGAGTGGAATATCACATTTCATTTTATTAAGAAATCTTCCTTTTATGTAATCACATACCTGTTTTGGTTATCATCAAAATCCCCCCCTCCCCCGTCCTTTTTTTTTTTTGAGACAATGTGTCGCTCTGTTGCCCAGGCTGCAGTGCAGTGGTGCAATCTCACCTCATTGCAGCAACCTCTGCCTCCTGGGTTCCAGTGATTCTCCTGCCTCAGGCTCCTGAGTAGCTGCGATTACAGGCGCCTGCCACCATGCCTGACTAATTTTTGTGTTTTTAGTAGAGATGGAGTTTCACCATGTTAGCCAGGCTTGTCTGGAACTCCTGACATCAAATGATCTGCCTGACTCGGCCTCCCAAAGTGTTGGGGACTCACAGGCATGAGTCAATGCGCCTGGCCAAAAGTCACTTTTTAAAATTGAGAGATTTTTATGGGTAAGCTTTTGTTATCAGGAAGATTTACATATGGGAAGACTAATTTTCTATCAATTTTGGATGAATCAAGTGCTTTTTAGGTGAATTTCTCTTTTTTTTCCAAGAAAAAATTTTATTGATGTATTACCTTTATACTGAAAATTGGACAAGTTGTTAAGTTACTGCTTAACGAATTCTTAGAAAGTGAATACATGCATGTAATTAATAAATAGAACATTTATCTCTTCACAAGTCTACCTTCTAGTCACTAATCCCTGACAAGAGTGAGTGCTCTTCTGACTTGTAACAAATTAGGCCTGCTTATTTTTGAATACTTCCAAAAATCAGTTCTGTAAGAGAAAATGATGTACAATGGCAATTCGTAATCTCGTATAAAAATTGTAATTTTAAGCAAGAGAAGAAATAATCTTGAAAATACAATTGGTATGTTTTTGTGAAATTGTAAGGTATGTTTCTATTAAATAATTAGCTGTTCTCATACTCAGAATCCCGCCCATTGTCAGTTCCTGTTAAAGCCATGTTGAATATATCTGAAAGCTGTAGAAGTCCTGAAGAAAGAATGAAGGAATTTATTGGAATAGTTTGGAATGCAGTGAAGCATCTCACACTACAGGTAAAATAAAAGTTAGAAATATGGATCTAATTTCTATAATCCTTTTTAATTCCCAGCATTGTTAATATTGGTAAGATTTTTCTCACATGTAACAATTATGTATACCATCTCATCTTCATAATTTAGTTGAAAATAATTGGTGTACTTCACTTATCCTAAAAATAATTTTATGAAACTCATATGATCTTCCTTATAGTTATAAAAATATAAACATTTTGACATGTTCCTTGAATTTGAAAAATTTTAGTTCATTCTACTTTTTGTTTAAGCATTATTTTCACAATTTTAAGTGCTTAATAGATCCATTCTTATCTCAGTACTGAGATAAAGTCTGAGTTGTGATTAAATTAACATGAAATGGTTATCTAGTTACTTTTCATACATAATTATAAGTTAAATACGAAAATTATAATAGCTATTTCCTTATTGTTATTAAATTTTCTTCTCATTGATTTTTACTTTAAAATGCACAATTTTATCTTACTGAATTACTTTCCTCCAAGATCATGTTTAACCTGATGAAAATATACATTTAGATGTTTATTTGATAAGCTAACAGTTATATATTTTAGTTTTTGCATAGGATTTTTTCTCTGTGATACCAGAGGCATCCTTATATAATTTTATATGTAGCAGATAGTAATATTAAGGGCTTAAGTCAAAGCCTTTCACTTTGACTTAAGATATAAAAGTTGCAATAGAAAATTGTTCCCACCTTACTATGAGAACAAGGTTATATCATCTATAAAATTACAGCTGTATTAAGCCCATAGAGATCTGAGGTCTTAAATTGACATTACCATAATGGCAGGGTGCTAAAATTCAAAAAAGTGACAAGCAACTCACTTTTTGAAACCCAAGAATCTCAGAAAACTCCATGAAGAATATATAAAAAGGAGAACATAGCTAAGTACCTAGCAGTCAAACTACTGAAAACTCAAGGAGAATATTTTATTTTATTTTATTTAAAGTGGAAAGATCTTTATTTATCAATATTCTTGTTTACCTGAAGACTAGACTGGAAGAGACTGAAATTATAAGTAAGGCAGACCTAGATATGTATTTCGTAGCAATGTAATGTTGGGGAGTTTCTTCTTGTTTCTGTGTCCACAAGTTAGAGATTATAATGTCTTCTTCATGAAGAGGGTGGAAAATATAGAGTGATAAAGTATATGAAAGCAACTGACAAAATTTATTCGTTTATTGATTCATTTTGCAAAAGTTACAATACTGTATTCAGAGAACATACTGAAGAAAACTAATGCAGTCCTGTCCTCATGAAGATCATAGTTTGGCAAGGAGAGATATTCATTAAATGATTGTACTTAAAATAATTTGACTATATTGATGATGATCCTGCTTCATGAACATATGTGTCAATTAAGCTAACCCTAGAAGAATCAGGAAACATTTGGGTACTCAATAACACCTGTGTTTTCTTTTTCTATTTCGTCTTTCTCTCCTGTAGCTGTAGCTTTTCTCTAAAGCAGCTGAAGGCTGCCCTGCCCTTCAGCAGGCAGATAAGAACTGATGGAGATAACACCCTTGGGATTATCTTCACCTACCATGGGACATGATTCTGTAGCATTCCTTGTCTGTCAATGTATCCTCAGTAGAATTAAGCTTCAGGTGTCCCAGGTTTGCCAGCACACCCATTTTGGTTACTGTCCTTTTGAGAAAATTTAAGAAGTGGGTAGACAATAAAGGCATGTTATATACAGATTAAAAACATTAAGAATGACTCCTTACATCTTATTAGAAACAATGGAGGCCAGAAGACAATAGAATAACATCTTTTATGTGCTGGGGAAAATCGGCACATAACATAGAATTAACATAGAATTCTCTAGTCAGCAAAGTATTCATCAAAAATGTTGGCCAATAAATACATAAAGACAGAAGAACTTTTCTCCAATAGAAATTAACTGCAAGATATTCTGAAAGAAGTTATTTAGGCTGAAAGGAAATTATGACAGATATAATCTTGGTTTTTCAGAAAGTAATGAAGTATATCTGAAAGTATAAATATGTTGGAAAACAACTGAATATTGCAAAAAAATAGAATTCAAGGAGAAAGCTTTAGTGTGTTTTAGCCTTTTGACTATCAGCTTCTTTCCTCTTTATTTTCCAGTTAACTTTTTGTTTGTTTGTTTGTTTGTTTGTTTGGACAGAATCTTACTCTGTCGCCCAAGCTGGAGCACAGTGGTGTGATCTCAACTCACTGCAACTTTCGCCTCCCAGGTTCAAGCAATTCTTCTGCCTTGGCCTCCCCAGTAGCTGGAATTACAGGTGCCTGCCACCATGCCCAGCTAATTTTTTATTGTATTTTTAGTAGAGTTGCCATGTTGGCCAGGCTGGTCTCGAATTCCTGACCTCAGGTGATCTGCCTGCCTTGGTCTCCCAAAATGCTGGGATTACAGGCATGAGCCCCTGCACTTGGCCCTAGTTAAATTTAACATTAAAAAATATGTGGCACTTAACAAAGTAAAGGAGCTTTGATTAAGATCAAAATTCAGCAGTTAAATGAAATTTCAGTAATTTATTCAGAAAATATTTATGAAGTCCCTAATGTGTCCTACACTCCAGCCAGCCCTTAGTCCTGCAGATGTGAGGAAATTGTCTCTGTGAGCAAGTAGAGTGAGTTTGGAAGTGTATGCTTTCCCAGGTGAGCCTCTGGATGAAAACACAGATGGTTAACACTTTTATTGCAGCTTTTTGAGTCAGTAATTCAAGTATTTAGCTAAGCCTTACCCAGATTAGTGACCCACAGAAACTGCAACAAATGTCTCTTGTTTTAGGCTGTTACATTTGTGGTGATTTCTTATATAGCATAGAAAATGAATATAGACAGATATAGACACATTATGCATAGCTATAGTGTCTGATTAATCACTGATAAGAAATACATACCTGCCATAAAAACTTTTTAGAATTCATCCAAAAACATCTCTGGTGCATAAAAATACTATTTAATATAAGAGCTCATAATCTTGATTTTAGCATTCCTTTATAGCGTTTCTTTTCTGAGCATGCTGCTTATAAGAAAGTTAAGAGAAGAATGAGAGGAAGAAAGTGTGGATTGTTGTTCTTGTGTAATTAACTCTTAGCTTGCAGAATTATGACTTTTTTTAGGGACATCAGCTATATTTCACCAATTTCAGCCATCATGAGTCATTTTAATGAATATCCTAATAACTCCTTGCGTTGACTTACCTGTCCTTCTCCCTTCGAGATACGCTTTGTACAGTGGTAACATCCATCTCTTAATTTTTGTTACATGTTGGGCTATATACTGAGAAAGCAAAAGAGACATAATAGTTGTCATGGTCTAGCTGGGAAAAGGCTAAGTGCCATGGTATGGAGTATCCTGTAGGGAGACCCTTAGAAAACTTAATGATGAAAGAAGAGAAATGGGAATGTCAAGAGGAATGTTACTTATTGAAAGGATGCCTCGGGCATGTACTTCCTGGTTTGTGATGAATTTGGATGTTATCCTAGGTAAGTATTTATTGCTTTGTGGAAGATCTAGTTGATACCACTGTGTGGTTTAGAATATGATAGCTACCAATAATATTTAGTTGTTTAAAGTTTACTATAGATCTAAATGTTATTTCATGATAATAGAACTAGTTATATTAAAAAATCCTCATTCCCTCTTATCTTTTTATTAATAATTGAATAATGTGGTATAATTATCTTTTTATTGATGTCACTTTGAGTAGTTCTGTAATAGGGAACATGAAAGATAGTATTGGGTTACATGATTCTTTGACAGCTCTAGGAAAATACTCCAATTTAAGATTCCAAGTAATATCAGAAATCTTTACACTATCTATAAACAACTAGGTACATCAATATTCTACAACGTAGGATATACTAGAGAATGTCCTTCTCTGGCTGGGATTAAATAGCAGAAACCAGATTTATTTCACTGCCTGAAATAACCAAAAAATTATTGAAATATATAACACAAAGGTTTCAAACCACTAGACAATAAGCCAAGTGGAGAGTGATTCCTGAGAGTCTTAAGATAGAATCAGCAGGACTTAGTAATTAATTGATTTGGGGAATAAGGGAACACAGTCTAAGAGATCTTCTAGATTCTAGTTTTGGTGTTTGGGTGGTAGTGATACTATTAAATGAAGCAGCTTTTCCAGATTAGGGGCACATACGGATTTTGAATTTACACATGTATTTGAAATGTATGTGAGACATCCAGGTATGTATTAGATATTTATATCTGGAGTTTAAGAAACAGATTAAGAGAAGAGATATAATTTTAGGAGTTATCTGCAGATGGTTTTCAAACCAGAAGAATGGGTCATTCAAGAAAGCATGTAAAGTTGAAGAGCAATGGGCCAAGGGAATACCATTTAAAAAGTTGTTAGTAGAAGAGAGAATGTCCTTGAAGGAAATTATGTTAGTGATCAGAAATGGAGGAGGAGAAACCAGAGAGTTCATGAAAGCAAAAAATGCATAGAATGTAGAGGAGATAGTAGTCAGCAATGTCAAATTCTAGATGTTAACTATATGCTTTACTTGCTTATTTGCAGTATAAAATGGATAAATTAAATAATGGTTAAGGTTACTTCCAACTCTAACATTATTGTATGATTCTTTTGCTTATTTTATAATGATGCAGTACCTTTATTAGCTTCATTACCATCAACAAACTTAATTTTATCTATCACTTTGAATTAATTGTAAGTTATTATAGTGATTTTCCTCATTTTTCCTTTTTTATCTCTAATTATGGTAAAACACATATAACATAAAATTTACCTTCCTTACTATTTGGAATAAACTATATGGTTTATTTTGTGGTTCCTTGATTTGAGTAAGCTTATTGAATATCAGTTAACATAATCATTGCAGTACCAAATAGTACATCTTCTTATAGGTTATCTTAAATATGACCTAGGTACTTGGCTTGCCTCACCCTAGTCCTGGCCCTGTGTTAAACATATTATATATTTAAACATTTCCAGATGTTAATGTAT